TAATAATAATAATAATAATAATAGTAATAATAATAAAATTTACAAATGTAATAATAAATATAATAATAATAAATAATAATATTAAATATAGTAATAATGCAACAACGGTAATTTATCTCACTGCAATATTCAAAAAAAAGCAGTTTAAGGAACAGCGAAAATCTGTTGAAAACTGTTCTATTCTGTTCTTTTGGGATCAAAAACAGCTCCATTCTGTTCCTCCCTCATTTGCGAACTGTTCTGTTCTATTCCATGTAACAGAACAGGAACATAATACTTTAACTGGAATAGAGACATCACTATCTGCAACTACCACCCTATTTACAAATGATTCACCAAACTGTTGAACAACGGAACACAACCAAAACTCTACGCAAGGGAAGTGAACAGGCTGGTTTCCGTCATCAGTATTCGACAGTTGACCAACTACAAACTGCAACTCAATTAATCAAAACTCACAGAAATATAGCTTTCCTGTTCGCTTAATATACAGTGAATACGAAAAAGCATTCGGCTATAATGACTCAGTCGAAATTAACGCGCTATGGAACTCACTGTAGAAACCTTCTGCAAACTCGTCAACTGTCAAAGTGTTACCAAGGATTTCAATCGTCAGTCCATCTGTCCGAATGAAAAATACCGTTTGAAGAGGTGTGCACTAAGGTATACAACTTCACCGGCGCTGTTCAATGCCTGTTTGCAACTACTGTTTGATTTCTTGTCGTAAGGGCATCAGTTTCGATGGAAAATCCCTTTCGAACTTGCAGTATACTGACGATATCATGGTAATATCGCATAGTGTTAATCAGTCAAGAGTAATGCCCAGAGAATCGATCGACGAGAGCAAGAAAACTGAGTTGAAAATGAATATTAAAAAACATAAATAATGTGCAAGCATACGATAAACAGCCCAGTCAGAACTAATGGGAAAGGACCCGAGGAACTCGAAGATCTCATTCACTTCGATCAGCTCATTTCCATGGAAAGGAGGATGGAAAGGGAAGTCAGAAGGATATGAATTGAATGGAGTGTGTTTTTTGAATACGAAAGTTTGTTTTGGAAATGAAGATGTTGCCAAGAAACTCAAAAGACGCTTATTCAACTAACATATCCTGCCGGTATTACTGAGTGGCTGTGGAACAAGGGTGACGACTAAGAATAAGATTACAGCTAAACAGAGAAGGATGGAAAGGGTGATGGCCGAGGTTTATGTAAGGCATCGTACAACTAATGATTGGTTGGGATTGTCTTCAAAAATATGAAGGAAAGGAACTTGGATTAGGCGAGGAAGATAGCATTAAAACTGAGCCAAAAGACTCCCAGAATGGTAAACGACGGTGCGGAGAAGAGGTAGGAGAAGGCCGAGCAAGACTGAGTCCCTTTGCAGATCAGTTTAATTCTCAACTTGAAACACACTACGTGAATCGTAACACATTGGCATGCTTACTGGGAGTCAAATATTGCGACTTGCTTAGGACTCCCTTAATCTCCCCTTATGTACCTCAGAAATCAAGCGATGGTCCCGGGTTTTGCAAATCTTCAATTAACCATGCACTCGGATCTTCGAAATGTGTGCTGATTTGGAGCACTGCCTCGTATTTGATATTAGACAAACTCAAACAAAGTCTAGGTCTGTGGTTCTCACTGATCAGCTAAAGCTGACCATTGCCGCAATGCTATTTGTATGTCATGGAAATATCCGCCTCATGTTTTATCCCGCTGACCTTTTCCGTTAGAGCTTTAAGCCTAACGAGAGTGTAAATAAATTACTAGAAATCCAGTGCTGTGGAAAAATCTGGCTGGATTTGTTAATCTAGAACGAGATTGGGAATTTTCGAGATGGAGACGGTAGTGAGGAACTATTGTTTTAAAACTGCCCGTCCCCGTAGACAGAAAATTAACCTTCTTCACGACTTCGAATTACTTATGCAGGAATTACACAAAATATGCAATGTTTTGACATTAGGACGTGAGCACTGAATTATTCTTTTTATACATTAAAAAAATATTTCAATCGCTGCATGTGATTGAGTTGATAACAAGTGTTTTAAAGTGAATTGTTCAGAGACCATACCAAAAATTATAATTGCAAAAGGTAATGAACAATACGGAATTTATTCCATTTTTTAGCCCCATTAAGTCCTAATAAAAGAATTTTACAGCGTATTCTGCTATAGTATTTTATTTATGTTCCTTTTGATAAGCAACAAATTCAATGTTTGAATACCATTAATTGGTTATCAAGGTATGCATTTCGAAAGTGCATTCAGAATGGCTGCTGGATGGAAGAAAAAATGATTGCATTTGAATGGAATGTATAAGGAAAAGTAATTGAGCTGTGGAATAATGAAGTTCTTTTCGGTTGCAGGATCGAACTTCCGAGAAATCGATGAAAGACACCTTACTGATAATCACTTCATTTCCCGCTCACTTAGAAAACGTTGATTATCACGAATTCACTGTGAAAAACTGGTTCATTTTCTGTTTTGAGCAATCGTCAAGCAGTGATCGGTTTGCCTCTGGTGTGGTGATGCAGTGACGTGTGCTGTTGCATACAAACCAATATCCTGTTGTTGGGATGAATCAACTGTCGTTTACAACGCTCAACTCATGCAGTCGTCAAGACTAAAAATCGAAATTTTTACAGATACCGAGTTTCAATGAGAGATTTGCATTTTTCGCTGATTTTCTCAGTCCCGATTGTGATGATAGTTGCCAAAGTGCCTGTGTACAACTAAAATAGTTCCGTGATGCACTTTTGCGAATAACAAACTTTTTATCAAAACAAGCTGTCATTTTTTCACGCAGTTTGTTTCATAAGGTATTATCTAAAGTGTCACTGACTATCACCACTTCTCTTTTCGATGAGCGAAATTAGGTCGTTCGTTGAGTGTGTTGCAATCAATCACTTTTTCCTCAGCATCACAATGAACAGCTTTTTGGTAACAGCTAAAGCTCAAAGTACACTGACATTCTGACGCGATGAACATGAACGACTACTTTTTGAATTTTATTACATTGTCAACATCATCTAAAGAAGATTATCAAAGAAGATTATCTTCTGTTGATGTCATCGTCAAATGGTAACTAGTCGATTATGCAAAATAGTTATTTCGAACAAGGTATTGTAGCTACCAAGAAACCGAGTCACGAATTTTTGTCAAATTCAGATTCATTTAAATGATCATGATCAAACAGATTTCCAGTGTTCATAGTTTCCAGTATTTATAGTTGTTTATATGCAACAGAATGGTTTCTCGAATTCTTATCTGGATATATTTAAAAAAAGAATCGGGTATATCGGCTGAGAAGATGGATTTGAAATGGATCCCAAGAAAATCATAATGTTCCCTAATTTGATTTTTCGTTATCACTGCTTGTCAGCAGCATCTAAAATGCTTATCAAAAAACGAGTTATCTTCTGCTGAAGTCATCTTCAAAAAGCGACTGGTCGCGATTGTGGCTTTTTTTTGCATTTGTTTGCGAAGAAACATCAAAGTGCAGGAAATGGTTGCTTTCATACATTAAAAATGATTGTGGTCATGTGTGATGATCTTATCATACAATACCAGTCACTCTCATCACACCACAAAACACAAACATTCGTCGATCAAACCATTACATGAAACAATCTGATAAACTGATGACGATCTCAATTGATGAATTTCATCAACAATTTACTGAGGTTCCTATGATGTATTCTGCAGTATCACTAACTTCATATTATACAAAAACGATNATCAAACCATTACATGAAACAATCTGATAAACTGATGATGATCTCAATTGATGAATTTCATCAACAAATTACTGATCTGAGGTTCCTATGATGTATTCTGCAGTATCACTAACCTCATATTATACAAAAACGATACTTCTGAGTGAAGAGACATATGAGCTGATGTAGAAGATGTTAATTGTTCATTGTTAGAAGTATGGCAACGCAAAATTTAAACTGAAGTTTTATTTGGTTCAAGCTACAAATGAGGTCTGCAAGCTGTGGTAGTTCAAGCATCACATCTGAGTATCATGGTAAGTAAGAAAAAACATGGCAAAAGTTGAGTGTGACCATCACCATTGTAAATGCTGACCACAATAACATCAATTTAGGCCATACTGGAGAATAGAAAGGACTGCGTACCGCTCGCGGCACTTCATCGTTCATATGACGTGAGCAATACCTGAAATTGTTTGGGACTTATTGGAGAATGTGAAAAATATTTGGAAAAACTGATTGGACGCAAATCCAGGTTAAATTTATTTTGTTCGAATGATTCGTGTGGAGTTGTGGGAGGATGGTTAGAGAGAATTTGATTTTAGAGAACATTTCATAGTTTTCAGTGTGCAGCCTTGAGAAGTATGAGTTGATGTTGAGTATACTTTTGCATAATTTCATCAAAAATGTGAATTTGATTACTTTCACATTTTCAGTCCTTTAAATGAAGTTGTCCTCCCCTTTGTGGTCATTACTATAAATATTATCAGTGTGGAACAATCAAAACAAAGAACAGCAACTTATATTAAGCCTTCTCAAAAATGAACTTTATGTCAGTTGATTCTTGAAACTCTATACAATACGTGATATTTTCAGTACGCATTGAACATCGTTTATTCTAACCTTCGAGCGTAGATGGCAATGAGGGATGGAATGATGTATTGAACACCGACACCTGGATAACTACCAGTAATTGACGTCAGAATGAGGATATCATCTGAGAAAAGAGCAACTAGCGTGGACAGTGTGATGACAGCGAATGCAATGATATGGTGCCGAGAATGCGCAGCAGTCTGCACCGATATCGTATCGTCCGCTAGCTTCGACTTGTTTTCACCGTTTTGCTTCGCTTTATCATCGTTCGAATGATTGCATTCTTGAGTGCTCCTCAAACGTATTCAGAATTCGTTATTTAGAATACGTCACATGATTCAATCGACTTTTTCTATACCACCATGAAGAACGACATTGGGTAATAATTCTTAGAGAACGACATTGGGTAATTCTATACAATCGCACTAAAAACGAACTTAAACTGAAATTCATCAAATTATATATACTATTCTTGATTGAAATTCATAATCAAATTCATTATTCTAATGCATCATAATCGTTGAAAAATAGCGTGCACTTATCTATTGTGTCTGTGCAGTGCTAAGAATCACATATTTTTGAATATGCAATTGAAGACCACTTTGACTTTTAGTGTAACGTATGGAAATTCAATACACAACGAAAACAAATACATGAGAGCATTCAAAACAGGTTTCAAGCTGATCGCGTTCATTTTTGATCAATTTCATTCCGCGAATGCTCCACAAGAAAAAGTTTCTTAAATTTGGATACCTTAGGTGAACTTCTGTCGATTTTTGTGATTTAAAACCAATCGATGATAAGTTGAAAACCTGTAGCTTCGACTTTGATGAAGTGCTATAAAGTCGAAACGTCAGAACGACAGAAAAAATTCGGTAAAGAACAACAAGCCTGACTAAGAATATTATCAACCGACTGGAACAATAAATTTGAAAGTAGTTTCAAGTGTAATTTCAGCGAAACAATTTGGACCAACAAGAGAATCTTCACTCAACACATCGTTGACTGCATTCAAGCAGTGACACAACCCTTGATTCTCAGAAATGGTGCCAATCGCATGTGCACATTGATAACTTCAAGACATTTTCATTGCTCAACTGAATTTGCTTGATAAGTGGTAAATTGCATGTCATATCGACACGATAGCGTTGAGACATTTGTTGAAAAGCTGAGCGAAGAACACTTCAAGGAGTGGAACAACTGTTGACGCAATGAACCAAAACGACTCTTAATTTTTCATGTATGACCAATCTGTTAGTCGCTCATTTGAATGTGACGAAATAAATGCAAATAATAGTCACAAACTTACAGCTCGAGGATGAGATCGCTCAAAACAGTTAGGTTATTGATCAGTGTACAAGCCACAATTGGGTAATTTGAGGTGAGCGTAAAAACTGGGAATAAAGCCAGGAAATAGTTGATTATCACTTCATAAAACTGATCCGTTTTGGAGTGCAGGAAGTTCAACGAGTAGACATCAAAAATATGTTCAAATGCGAATGTACCCGAGACAGCGAGTGCCAAATAGAATGCGAGCACTAGAGCATAGACTAGACCCAAATAGATGAATATGTGAGATTTGGATCTGAAATGGTCCATATCAATGTTTCATTTACTTCGGAAAATTAATGAGAGTTTGATTTAAACTCTCTTGAGAAAACATAAAGTAAACTGATGGATTATGGACTAGTAACGCACGGCTCGTGAATAAAATCCTGCGAGCATTGTGCATCCGAAGTTGACAGCAGAATTGCAAATGGTTATAAAAGTCCTGAATGTTTTGGATTATCAGTTTCATCTTCGTTTCTCGTGACAATTTTTTTGGAAAAGAAACGGCAGTTCAATTTGTTTTGATGCTTTCGTAATGAATGCAAGTAGATATGATGACATTACTAATACTGACTTCATCGGCGTCACAATACTCGGTAAGCTGTGATGACACATGAATGCGTAAACGGTTGTGCCGAACAGGGAGCCGAATCCGTGAATGTTGTATGTTTGTGGTATCCTTGGAGATCCTTCTTTTGCGAGTTGCAAACATGCTAGTACAATCATCACTATGAACGCTGAAAAAATGTAATTTCTCAACTCAAAAGCAACGCAAAATTCTTCTTGACTCAGTAGATACATAGAGTGCTAACTGGATGCAGAATCGCTTTCTTAAAAAAAAATCTAACTGTGAACCAAACTGAATTAAAACTTGCGATGAAGCTAATATTGACCTGTCCATCTGCATATGGATGTTGATAATTGCAGAAACTTGGTTCGTTGCACACCAACCAACACCAATGGTGTAACAAAGCAAACGAAAACGAATATGGCCATTCGGTATACGGTAATTCTTTGTAACCATTCTGGCCAATGTTCATGGCATTCATTTTGGCCGTTTGCTGTAGTGCCATTGACAGACTGACTTAAACAATGGAACTTCAGAGCATGAAATGCCGCATCGTTCATGATTTCCGCATCACTACAAGGTGTCACATCACATATCATGTGCTCTGCTATGCGACGGTCTGATGCTCCAACCAATTAAAAGTTCTTTTGAAAAGGCACTCAAGTTGACCATAGATGTTGTGTGTGTGTTTGCGTGAATAAATTTATTCAAATCGCTGAATCGCGATGAATGGTAAATGTGAAACATATGGTACATGTAATAAGTGATTTGTGATGTTCCCAATAGGCTGAATAATTTTTCATAATGCTCTTTTTTGTTTTGTTGAATTGATTTCATCACAGACAAACATTATTGATGAAAAATTCTGTTGATATATTGAAACAATATTTGATGTCGTTTTGATCACAGATTGAATTGGTGTTTGATTTCAACGCAAATGTCAAATACGAGTTCATTTTCTGCATCAGTCATACAGTATAGCAACATCGCATTTGTCTTATGATTCCCTCTATTTGTCCCCAAAAAACTTTCCCTAGCAACATTTCCGTAAGCGTCTGGCGAAAGTTATGACTGGTTTTATGGAATTGGTTTTATTTTGTCTGCAATTGTGCATTAATGTTTCTACTTGTTACAGTCTGTATTATGATATTGGCTCCTCATAATCGCTACAAAATGTGCGTCTTTAATCATTTTCAAAAAAATCATTCAAACCAACAAATGTTGCATTTGTTGATTTGGGTGAATTTTTTGAGCCTTGACTGAGATCAAAGTTATTTGAGACTCACCTCAAAGCAAATTACATAAGGACACTCATATTATTTTCTATAATTGAAAGGCGCAATAAACGATTATTCATTTTTGATGGCAGATGTGCATGAAAATGAATCTCAAGCAAGTGATCTGATCAATTCGAAATGCTTCCTGAGACCAGAAAGAACAACGTACCATATGACATTCATGATTGACTTCGGAACAGCAGCCGTATAAACGACGAGATCACCGAATAAATAAACCGTCATGATTGTGTTGAAGAATAACAAACCATATTTACCGATGAACAGTCTCGCCATAGTACTCTTAAATTGGGTGAATCTTATTCACTTATGTCCCAAACCATAAAGGTTTCATTCCCCATCTCACTGCATTCCGAATTTGAAATTTTCAAGGTGTTATTGTGCGGCATTTGATGAATATATTCAGTAGTTTTATCTGCCCTGAGCTGGAGTGTTGAAGAAGCTTATCACGTAGTTCGGATTAATCGCATGAATTTTGGTGTGAAAATGATTGCAATGCGATATGCGATCGACCTAATTTCATAGATCAGTTGTGTAGCGGTATTAAAGCAGTTTATAGCTGCAATTAAGAACCGGATGGATGGATTATATCGTGTAATGCAGACTTATTATCACTTTGACACTATTTATGCGTGGTTTTTCATTTGAAATTCGGTTCTAACAACACCCTGAGGTGACAAGATAATAATTTACAGTATTTTATAATCAGTTGTAGATTACGGATGGGTGACTATTGATAAATTATCATGGTTACATGGTTTACTGATAATCTCTTATTTATGGTATCATAATCAATGTCTTTGGTCTTTTTAGCTCAACCGTATTCACCTTTTCGCAAGAACCAATCAAATCTCTCACTAAAGAGAAGACGCTAACCTAAAGTGCGAACAGAAACTCGCTATGGAGAAGAGAATTACGACATAATTTCCATTTGGAACTTCAATTCATTTCTCTAGCAATAAACCAATATAAGACACCGAATGCTGAATATATGATGTTCTGAATCTATTTTCTACTTGAACACCTGCATATTGCTGCTCAATATTCGATTTACAAGAATGAGAAAGAAATTTTGATTAGTTTATTCGCGCCATATAATTGTACGCTTAACAACCGGAAGCGTTCGACATTGTAGGTGATATTTAGGAAGTGATAGTTTAGAAATGAATTGTTCGGTTGTTGATGCCGATGGAATTAATCGCACTGACAAGATGGGCTTTTTGGAATGCAGTATTTTGAATGATGATAACACTCAATGCTTGAAAGTGATGAACGAAAGTTCAGATTCGATGAATGACACATCAAATATCAAATGATATGTTCAGATTAAATGGCGTCTTGAAATGACAGATGCAATTAGAACGTACCATTTCAACACGTTCTTGTATTTTGTACATGGAACGCAAGTCGTTATCACTCGCTTCTACACCTGGTTTCCACTTGAAACGTCGGCTTGCTGCATTTGCAATCGCCATCCCTTCTACCACAAACGTTGCACATACATAACTGCAATACAGTTTACTGGTTGGTTCATCGACATCGGTGATAGCAGAAGCACTTACATCTACACCTCAAGTCGAACGACAGTGCAACTGAGCCGTTCAAATCTCAAATTTGCGATCGAATTTAAACACCAAAAAATAAATGCATTCTTTCAGAATATTCATTGCATTGCGAATTGCTTTAATTGTAAACATGCTTTATCCAAGATCATCAGACTAAGGCAAATAAATACCTCATGAATGATGATATTATGAGCAATAGTATACCAAGAACGTAACCAGCTGATTCGAACGCTTTTGGTAGGGCTAAAGCCCCTGTGCCAACAATTAGATTAAATGTCAGAATATAGCCAATCTGAAATTCATCAAAAATGAAAATTAAGGTTTGATCAATAAGCAGTTCGTTATTTCAAATGGAATCTATTGTAAAGAAATATTGTTAGTTAAATCGCTCATTAAAATTGCTCATTCAGTCAAATTTCTTTGACTCATAACCGATGCAATTTTTAAGATGGTGTTTTTTGACAGTTGCTAAATGGTTTTTGGATGCATTGCCGAACGAATCAATGAAGCTCTTCTTATTCGACATTCGGAATGTTTACGGAGACTGGACTGGTAAGGAACCGAAACCGAATTATTTGAGATTTTGTTGGATGCACTGTTCATGTCTAGAATAGCCGTTATCCATGCAGTATACATTTAAACAAGATAAACTGGAGATATCGTGAAATTAATTTTAAAAAATACACTGTGAATGTATAACAACAAATTTGAAAACAAATCCAAAAATAGCTTTCCTCACGATTATTTCAAAATATACCATCTGAAAGGCCATAACTGTCATTCAGAATCTATTAACAATCCATGAACTTCGATTATCTTCGAAGGAGAATGATTAAATTGCGATCTTGAAAAATACATCCCTATCAAATTATGAGTTGTCTGGGTATAAGCTTGAACCCTTGAACAGTATCTCGGTAACGAGCAAGTAAAATAGATGAAATACGAAATCCTTCTGACGGATATTACCCAATTGGCCATACAGCAGACAGAACAGGAATTACGAAAAGAAAACGAGCAAATTTTTTCAATTTCAATTCAACAAATTTCACTCATACTTTTGTTGAGTAAGAAACATCGGTGTCTGCTGAAGCAATAGCCATATTCGATCAACGAGACGAGCAGATCTGATGGCCGTTCGATTCGAAGGTGGTCGATGTGATAGTGATGACGATGAGACAGACGGTAAATGTGAATGTGTAACGACTGCCTCGAATTGTTGTTTAATGTTTTTATCTCAAAAATGGGCAGTTAAACCGATATGTTCAAGGACAATTAAAACATACTAATAATAATTAATAACTATCGTTAGCGTTGACAATAATAACAATAATTACTGTATCAGTGAAATTATCAAATACGATAGAATGCCACGAGTGAATTCAGCGATCAAATCGTTTTCCCATTCCCAGACGACGTCAGCAGTGATATAAGTTGGGAATCAATCAAAGTTGACTAACCGACTTTCATCCCGCCCATTCATCTCACTATCTTTCCACTAAAGCTTGTTAATCATTTATATCTTATCAAACTATCCCTCTAAATAGTTTCTCACTGATCCGCAGCGGGACAGGTCACTATTCCAGATCTACTGGCCCTTTGCGTGAATAATCTCATGTCAATCATACTATTGACATTCTTATTAATTAACTTCAAGAGTCTGAAAAGCATTTTAGAATATGCAAAAAGTTTTTCTCAACTCAACAGTCGTAACAGAATGTGAAAGGGAACACATCGAAAAGTTGTAATATTTATTGCATGTGATTGAATGGGTTGATTGAACGCGTCATGTCTATCCCAGCGAATTTAATTGCTATATAACCGTGAAGGTGATGATACACGCCTACCTTGAACATAGAAAAACAAGTTGATTGATAAAGGAACTGGCAATAATTACCAGATGAACTTCGATTGAGGATACATTCACGAAGACTCAATTAATCAAATTCCTTGCTTGGTAAAAGAAGTAAAACATTGTCATTGATTAATTGCTTTATCAATGATCATTAAGGAAATAAATCAATTATCTTCATCATTACAACTGTCACTATCGACAGCTCCTTGCTTGAAAAACTCCAAAACTTAATATTGCTTACTGCTAGTAGATTTTTCTTAGCTACTTTAAATTACAATTTATTCATTACTGCTATCCCAATAACATATCAGTAAACACTTACAGATCACTATCCGAAATGCTGTCAATTATCAATTTAATTTCGCTGAATATCATGCTCATTCGCTTACAATTCACTTCGGTCTGTTCCTTACTTACATGCTTGTTTACTTGATTATTTACTTGTGC